TGAAATTTTAAATAACACTAATTGGAAAATTCATAAATTTTGATCTCTAAATCTCAACTTTCACTAGTGTGTAAGAAAGAGATTTCTAAGTATCTGTTGAAAAACTCTCAGTGTTCTGTTGGCACTAACTCAGAAGCCTGACAGCAAAATTTCCTTTCTTCACACTCCAAAATTTTCTATCCTCCCATGATTTCTATTTCCTTCCCCTAAAAACCAAAATTACAAATCACAGAATCTCTCTTTTTTTCTTTTTCTTTTTCATCTTTTTATGTACTCCCTACATGCAATATGATTTATTTATTGTATTTTGGAATCACTTTTTTTTATCTACTCCCTTTCAATTCCTATTGTCTCAATTATATTTGAGGCCTATCTGTACTCTCAGCAGGATCATAGCAATAATTTACTAAATAAATGTGTGCCTTCATCTTTTATGTGCTGCCAGAGTTATATTTCTGAAGTAGAATTATATCTTCTTTTTAAAATTTCATGCCTATGTTTTCCCCTTCATAATAGTGTGTGGATGCATGTTAGAGAGGAAGAGAGGGAGAAAAATGCACTCTCAATGGGATCTCATCACACTTCAACCCTCTAGCTCGTCAGGATCTCAGTCACTTGTGCACACAGCTGGCACATTTTTCAGGTCATCCTGGGGGATCCAAACCCATGATAAACCATATAGCTTTCAGCTCTGTGGGGAACTCTGGTTACTGCTATATCACTGAGTCTGGGCCAATATCATCTGTCATGTTTGCTAGCTCTTTGACACTTACGGAAAAAGTCTGAGTTTCTGAACAAGGCATTTAAGGTCTTTTATCATCTCACGTGTGCCCTCCCTTCGTGCTCATCTTCCTTGTGCACTTGTCTCTGTTTCTTGGATGATGTGCCCTTAGCATTTTTCTACTGCCCAGAGCAGTTATTATCCAAAACTCCACCTTCTGTGTTATGGGAGTCTATTATCCATTAATTAATTTGCTACCACTCATCATCTGCTAACCAGGCACTTTCACCCTTCCCACAACACTAAAATGATCGAGTTAGAGATGTAAATGCTCTAAATGTTTTTCCATTATACTTCTACCTCTGCTATTTTCTTAAACCAGGAATGTTATTCTTTCCATGTGGTCCTAATCTAAAAAAACCCACAAAACTATAGTATTTCTTAATGTAACTTGTTTATGTCTTTCACTATTTTCTTTTAAAAAATTATAGTGGTATTTATTGAGTTTCATCTTTCTTGATATGCTAAAGACATCATATATTTTATGTCATTAAATTTTCAAAAGAATATAAGATATTCTCATATTACATTACATTACATCATTTTAGTTAGGAAAACGTTCTATATTTACTTACACATTATAGATTTTTCAAGACAAAGATTCAGCTTAAGGTCCGTTTTTTCCCCTCACTAGCACTCTACTCTGTATGGAATTCCCTGACCAGAATTTAAATCACTGTCCTCTTTTTTCCTTACATTCCTTTTTGGTTTCTTTCTCCCTCTGTGATCTATTTCTTCTATTGCTAGTATCTTTACGATCTGTATGTTATTGTTTTTGTTTCTTTTATGTAATTTTAACCAAAATTTCCTGGAATCTTATTTGACCATGAGGGCAACCTGAGAAACAAACCAGTAATCAACTTTCACTGGCTCTTATCAGCATCTAATTGATGTCACTAATTTCCAGGAGGGGAGACCCAGAGATTGCTCAAGTATTTGGATGATCCTCTCATGTTCTACTTCAGTATTCTCAATGAAACTTTCTTGGGGGTGTGCTTTCAGTACCGATGCTTCCAGAACACCTCATTTCCTGACTCTACTCAAACCACACATTTGCCTTTATTTTGTCGATATAAGACATTTTCTGGATCTGTCCATATACTAAAACTAGATGGTATTCTGAGGTGATGAGTGGAGAATATGCACAACTTACCTAGTATGATCCATCTTGTCACTTTGGTCACCAAAGTAGCACTGCTTTTACTTCTGACAAAGTGTCTGAGTACAAAAATTACTTCATCTTCTGCCTATTATGTCTTCTCTCTAAGATATTATTTTTAGACTCTTATTAAAAGAAAACAGAAAAACCTCAGTTTTAAAATGAGGGTTTTCTTTCAATGTTTCCTGTGCTGTGCCCCACAGTTCTGCTCTGTGGTTGACACCCAGTTTAAGCCCAAACCGTTCTTAACCATCACATAATCCTAACCCTGTTATTTCACAGGTAGAAATGTGACTTAAGTCACTTTAATTGGAATAAACATTTAAGTTTCTACTGGGACTTCTAGAAAAGATGTACACCATTTCCAGTGGTTGTGAACCTAAATACATGAAGCTTATGTAACTATTTTAATACCAGAATGAATATTTTATTTAAAGAGAAGAGGAAAAAAGTGAAGTGATGAGAGTGAGAGAGGAAGAAATTGGGAAATGATGAGATCGTGAGAACACATTTGCGTAATTGAGCATAATGCCTAACAATTGCCAGACTTTGCAATTATGTTGTACAATAAATAACTCCATGCTTCAGCAAGTTGTGCTTGGATTTCTCTCACCTGCAGAAATAGGAGCTAATTGAAATGGATTTAGGCATAAATCTACCGTCCATTCTCCAATACTGAGAGTACTGTAACTACACAGTGCAAGTTGAAAATGCCATATTCTTATAAATAAATACCTTGCTCAACCCTCAGACCTGTGAGAAATGCACTCACTTGTCAATGGCAAAGAGTGGACAGGGGACATGAGGTATGGGGAAGCGAGACTTCAATGGCAGTCTTAACGAGTTTGGATATCTGATGGGCAGACACACCCAAAACAGTTACAAGTAACTTATTCCTTAGTGCACAAGTCCCTCCTCCAGTTTCTCACTGACTATGTTGTTTAAGTTTTATTATTCCCTTATTTGGTATTTATTGTCCTCTTCCCTCTCTTGGGTGATGGAAAGGCACACACTCATGACAAGCGCAAGAAAAAGGCCCACCAAATGTACTGAGGAGGGAGGAGAACAAAAAAGTAAAAAGGAGTAAAGGGCTGGTGACCAGCCACCATCTTGTGAAGTCATTTCTCAAGAGTGACCTGTCACTTTTGGATTTTGTTTAGGAACCTCCTGGAAATTTGTACTTTCTGGAATTGTCACATCTGCAAACTGGTTAAGCAACTGTTGTTAAGCTATTCTTATCACTCAGAATCAGATCATAGTCTCTAAGATCAGTACTTGATTTAAAATCAGGCAATTATAAACCATTTCCCAGGATTTAAAGTTGGGACCCGAGATAATAAAGCAAGACACTGTTGGTAATGTTTTCAGCTCATGACACAAGCCAGTCTAATTGAATAAAACCTAGAAGGCTAAGAGAAACTGCTCCAATGTCATGGAAACATTTCAATAAATTTCTCCTTTTTCTAAGCTAACTTGAGAACAGATTAAGACTAAGAAAGTGATTGAAAAAGACTTAAATACAGGTCTGTTGGATGGCAAAGAATATTCACATCACTACTGAAATAGAATGATATTTTATTATATTTGCTTAGTATACTTGATAGGGTATATGACATAATGGATCATTAGTTGGATTTATATCCAAGTTTATATTTAATAAATATATTTCAAAAGATATGTTTAGGAACCAGCAGATAGAGTAATGGTTATGTTGCTGGACTCCTACATGGCTGACCATGGGTCAAGTCTCGGACCTGGTGACTTTCTTTCTCACATTTCTTCCTTCCTTCCATTCCGTCCTCCCTCCCTCCCTCTCCCTCTCCTTCTCTCCCTCTCTTCCTCTCTCCCTCTCCCCCTTTCTCCTTCTCCCTCTCCCTCCCCCACCTCCTGGTCAAATTAAAAGTAAATTAATTTAATTAATTCTTAAAAAAAGAGAGATCTACTTAAAATTGCAGAAACCCTTGTAGCCAAATTCACTTTAGTGAATGTTTTCTATGACCCACCTTATTCCAGAAGTAACCTGGCTCTCAGGATAGCATTTTTGTCTGTGTTGAAAAAACCACCAAAAAAAAAAAAAAAAAAAAAAAAAGATGTGTCTGTTTACCCTTCATTTTACCCTTCATTTTAAAAATGAGTTTATTGGGGCCAGCAGGTGGCATGGTGGTTAAGGATTTCCACATGGCTGATTGCAGTTCAAGTCCCGGACCTGGAGGCTTGCTTTCTTGCTTTCCTTTTCTCTCTCTGGTCAAATGAAAATAATAATACTAATTATAATAACAAATAAAATTAAATAAATAAATAATTTGAAAAAGTTTATTTATTCCTTCCATGAGAGAGACAAAGACAGACCGGGAGCACCCCAGCCGGTCCTTATGCCATGATTCTACGGCCACCCTTAGCCAGTCAGGGTCACAGGCACATGTGTAGCACCTGGCATGCACAGGGAGGCCCTGGGACTCAAACCTACCTGTGTGAGTCCAGGTGAATTACAGTCATGTTGCTGGCCTTTACTCTTCATTTAAAAAAATTTTTAATGACATCTCCCAGACTCTCAGATTCCAAATGCTGGGGTAATTTGTGTATAGATACATTTTTCACAAATAATGTTTAGAAATTACAGACAAGCAGCAGACCTGACCTATAAGAATATTAAAGGAGGAACCAGCAGATAGAGTAATGGTTATGTTGCTGGACTCCTACATGGCTGACCATGGGTCAAGTCTCGGACCTGGTGACTTTCTTTCTCACATTTCTTCCTTCCTTCCATTCCGTCCTCCCTCCCTCCCTCTCCCTCTCCTTCTCTCCCTCTCTTCCTCTCTCCCTCTCCCCCTTTCTCCTTCTCCCTCTCCCTCCCCCACCTCCTGGTCAAATTAAAAGTAAATTAATTTAATTAATTCTTAAAAAAAGAGAGATCTACTTAAAATTGCAGAAACCCTTGTAGCCAAATTCACTTTAGTGAATGTTTTCTATGACCCACCTTATTCCAGAAGTAACCTGGCTCTCAGGATAGCATTTTTGTCTGTGTTCTACTGGGAATGCCTTTTTTTTTTTTTTTTTTTTAAAGCCAGCCTCTGCATCTTTTCGCGTGTCATCCTTGCACAGGGGCCATGCTAATCTTCTCTGTATCGTTCCAATTTTAGTATATGTGCTGCCGAAGCGAGC